TCAGACTGCATCCTCAGACTGCACTGCATCCTCAGACTGCATCCTCAGATGGCATCCTCAGACTGCACTGCTCCTCAGACTGCATCCTCAGACTGCACTGCTCCTCAGACTGCACTGCATCCTCAGACTGCACTGCTCCTCAGACTGCATCCTCAGACTGCACTGCTCCTCAGACTGCATCCTCAGACTGCACTGCTCCTCAGACTGCATCCTCAGATGGCATCCTCAGACTGCACTGCTCCTCAGACTGCACTGCATCCTCAGACTGCATCCTCAGATGGCATCCTCAGACTGCACTGCTCCTCAGACTGCATCCTCAGACTGCATCCTCAGACTGCACTGCTCCTCAGACTGCATCCTCAGACTGCATCCTCAGACTGCACTGCTCCTCAGACTGCATCCTCAGACTGCATCCTCAGACTGCACTGCTCCTCAGACTGCATCCTCAGACTGCACTGCTCCTCAGACTGCATCCTCAGACTGCACTGCTCCTCAGACTGCATCCTCCAACTGCACTGCTCTTCAGACTGCATCCTCAGACTGCACTGCTCCTCATACTGCCTAGACTGCAATGAGCTCCTGTCTTCACCAGCCTTATACTCCTCTCTGCCCAGTCATAGCACTCCTGTCTCCATCTCCCTAGTGCTGGGATTAAAGACATGTGATCCCAAGTGCTGGGATCAAAGGTGTGAGCTCTGCTTCTCTTCAGACTAATTTACTCTCACAGAGATCCAGCTGCCTCTGTCTCCTGAGTGCTGGTTGGGATTAAAGGTATGTGCCACTACTGCCTGGCCTCTGTGTCTGTGGCTAGCTCTGCACTCTGATCTTCAGGCAAGCTTTATTAAATCATAAACAAAATAGCATCACAAATCTCTATGAGTTCCAGCCCATAGAGACCTTGTCACAAAACACACACACAGAAAACTGGTTTATATGAAGAATTTCAAAATTGGTAATCTAGCTAAAAACCGTCCAAGTGCAGGTACTCTTCTCCTCCAGATTAAAACAACAAAGTAAAGGCTTAATTGACAGCCTGAAAACCTTAATCATACATAGGGCAAAAAAAAATATTATGCTGAGATTTTTTTGCTGCGTAGTGGTGGCACATACCTTTAATCCTACCACTTAGGAGGCAGAGGCAGAAAGTTCTCTGAGTCTGAGGTCAGCCTACTCTATAGATCCAGTTCAGGATAGCCAAGATTACACAGAGAAACCCTGTGTCAAAAACAAAACAAAAACAAAACAAACAAAAAACAAAACAAAAGTTAAGATTTCTAATCATGAAATGTGAATGTGGCTAATAACGTTTCTAGTACAATTTTGGATACATGTCTCCATAGAGGTCCTTGCCTGTATCTGATTGCCCTTTAGAGGAATTAGTTAGTGCTCAAGAAGCAAACGTGGTCATATATATTATGTATACATATATAATATATATAATTTTTTCTTATTTTATATATCGATCCCAGTTCCCTCTCCCTCACTCCCATATCCCCCCACCCTCCCATCCCATCCCCTCATCCACTCCATAGGGAGGGTGATGCCTTCCAGGAGGGATCAACAAAATCTGTCAAGTCATTTGGAGTAGGGTCTAGGCCCTCCCTCCTGTCTCTAGGTTAAGGGAGTATCCCTCCATGGGGGACGTGCTCCCAAAGTCCTTTCGTGCACCAGGGATACATCCTGGTTCCACTGTCAGAGATCCCTTAGACTGCCTAGGCCTTCTAACTGAGACCCATGTTCAGGGGGTCTGAGTCAATCCAATGCTGGATTCCCAGCTATCAGTCTGGGGGTCCATTAGTTCCTCCTTGTTCAGGTCAGCTGTCTCTATGTATTTCTGTAGCCTGGTCTTGTTCTCCCTCTCTGCATGTGGATTCCAGTTCGGGTCAGTGTTTAGCTGTGGGTGTCTGCGTGTTTCCATCAGCTACTAGATGAGGGCTCTATGATGGCAGATAAGTTAGTCATCAGTCTCATTATCAGGGAAGGGCATTTAAGGTAGCCTTTCCACTGTTGCTCAGGTTGTTAGTTGGGGTCATCCTTGTAGGTCTCTGAATATTTCTCTAGAGTCAGTTTTCTCTTCAAATCTATAATGGCTCCCTCTATTATGGTACCTCTCTCTCTCACACACACACACACACATATCTATTCATCTCCTGACTCAATCTTCCTAGTCCCACATGTTCTCCTCTCCTCCTCTTTCTCCTAACTCCCTCTCCACTCAATATGCTCAGGAGATCTTGTTCCTTTCCCCTTCTGTGAGGGACCTTGTATGAATCTTTTATGTTCCTCCCTGTATCCTAGTTTCTCTGGCAGTATAAATTATAGGCTGGTGATTCTTTGCTCTAAGTCTCAAATCCATATATGAGTGAGTATATACCATGTTCCTCTTTTTGTGACTGGGTTATCTCACCCAGGATGGTTTCTTCAAGCCCCATCCATTTGCCTGCGAATTTCAAGATTCCATTGTTTTTTGTTTTTTGTTTTTGTTTTTTTTTTTCTGCAGAGTAGTATTCCATTGTGTAAATGTGCCACATCTTCTTTATCCATTCTTCAGTTGAGGGGCATCTAGGTTGTTTCCAGGTTCTTACTATTACAAATAGTGCTGCTACAAACATAGTTGAACAGATGTCTTCCTTGCATGGATGTGGATCACTTGGGTATATGTCTAAGAGTGGAATTGCCGAGTCCTGTGGTAGACTTATTTCCATTTTCCTGAGGAACTGTCATACTGATCTCCAAAATGGCTGTACAAGTTTGCACTCCCACCAGCAGTGGAGGAGTGTTCCCCTTTCTCCACATCCTCTCCAGCATAAGTTGTCATTGGTGTTTCTGATTTTAATCATTCCGACAGGAGTAAGATGGTATCTCGGAGTTGTTTTGATTTACATTTCCCTGATGGCTAAGGATGTGAAGCACTTTCTTAAGTGTCTTTCAGCCATTTTGGATTTCTCTATTGAGAATTTTCTCTTCAGTTGTGTACCCTACTTTTTAATAAGGTTATTTAGTGTTTTGGTGACTAGTTTCTTGAGTTCTTTAATATTTTGGAGATCAGCCCTCTGTCAGATGTAGGGTTGCTGAAGATCTTCTCCCAGTCTGTGGGCTGCTGTTTGGTCTTGTCCTTTGCCTTACAGAAGCTTCTCAGTTTGAGGAGGTCCCATTTATTAATTGTCAAACTCAGTGTCTGCGCTACTGGAGTTATGTTTAGGAAGCGGTCTCCTGTACCATTTTGTTCAAGGGTACCTCCCACTTTCTCTTCTAAGAGGTTCAGTGTGGCTGGATTTATGTTGAGGTGTTTGATCCATTTGGACTTGAGTTTTGTGCATGGCGACAGACATGGGTCTATCTGCGGACTTCTACACACTATCATCCAGTTGTGCCAGCAGCATTTGTTGAAGATGCTTTTCTCATCCCATTTAGCTGTTTTGTCAAAAATCAGGTGTTTATAGGTGTATGGGATAATATCAGGATTTTTGACTCAATTCCGTTGGTCTACCTGTCTATTTTTGTGACAATACCAAGCTGTTTCCAGGACTATAGCTCTGTAGTAGAGCTTGAAGTCAGGGATGGTGATGCCTCCTGAAGTTCCTTTATTATACAGGGTTGTTTTGGCTATCCTGGGTCTTTTGTTTTTCCATATAAAGTTGAGTATTATCCTTTCAAGGTCAATGAAGAATTGTGCTAGGCTTTTGATGGGGATTGCATTGAATCTGTAGATTGCTTTTGGCAAATGTGGTCTTCTAAGACCCTCCCTAACCACACTCCCCTCCAGTGCCCCATAGGGGACAATCCGAGGCGGTCACTCTCACTCTAGACACAGAGTCAGCAGTCTGAAGAAAAGGTATGGAACACCCTAGCAGTTATTTTGAGCTGAATTCCCTGAATCAGTTCCTTAAAAGAAATTCTTTGTGATCTTTTCAACCTAAATGAGCTGAGAGCCATGAAGGGAGGAGGAACAGCAATTGCATTTTCTGTCCCAGGATTCCCACCCAGGACAAGTTCTAGTCACAGAAACACAACTTGGAACAAACGCTTTGATGAGGGATGGAAGCAACAACTCACAAACAATGTGATGGCACCCATTTTCTAAAATGTAAGATCAAAATTTGCCAGACCTAAATCGTAAGTCTTTCTACATCTCCTGGGTTCCTCTCACCAAAGCACGCAGGAACCTTCCAGGCCCAAAGCGCTTAGTTTTAAAAATCAAACAAAAACAAAAACTCTGAAGATTAACAGTTTGTTTACATGTACTTGATTTGAACACCTGAGACTGAATTTGGCATGTATGTTTTTCCTTCAGTATAGAAATAGTTCATTTAATTATGTGGTACTACCCTAAGGAAGGTGTGCATTATATACAGTATTCTTAAAACCCAAAAATCTAAATTATCTTCAAAGAGTTTCAGATAAGGGATGGATTGCCAATTTCTGCTTTCCATATATTATCTGTAAACTCATTGTTACTCTGATTCAACCAGACTTGACTTTTCATGGTTTACCATCTACTTTTATAATTTAGCTTCAAGTACAAATCTAAAATTTATTACCTGATGATAACCACTCAAACCACTTTCAATAAATGCCTAATGCTTATAAATGTGAATTACAATCACATTAAAAAGTCCCCTTAAGCCAGGTGTTGGTGGCGCACACCTTTAGTTCCAGCACTCTGGAGGCAGAGGCAGGAGGATCTCTGTTAGTTGAAGGCCAGCCTGGTCTACAGAGCTAGTTCCAGGACAGCCTCCAAAGCTACACAGAGAATCCCTGTCTCAAAAACCAAAAACCAAAACAAACAAACAAACAAAAAAATACTTGGCTTCCAGTTTTAAAAAAAGATAAAAGGCCACTGTGTAAGTAAGCAAACTGGACACAGTGCATAATGAAAGCATTTACTGTACCAACTTCTCTAGCTGCCAAATGTACTCTAAAATAGAGGTAATACTAGTAAAAGTACTTGAAGAATCAGGTAGCTTATATTTAAATAATGGAAAAAACTCCCTACTTACCCCATCTCCTGTTTTACCAGCAACCATGTAGCATGCTGTAGGCAATTTAGTCACACCCAGAAAGAAGAAAAAGGAAAAGTATTCAGTTAAGTAAAGTTCCAACATCATTATCAAAGTGCTCCAATCATTTGCTACCAAACTCCTCTGATTAGGTCAGTACTGAATGCGGTAACCGTGGGGGAAGATTTCAGCTGACTCGCTGGGATCGAGGCATTCAAAGCAGCAAAACCTTGTGGTATAACAAATCCAGCAAATGGAAGGTAGAGATCAGGAGGAAGGAAGATCAGGAGTTCAAGTCCAGCCCTGGCTATATAACAAGTTTGAGGCCAGCCTTAGCCCTGTCTCAAACACAAACAGCCCAGAGTGACTAAGTACACACACAGCTTCTAAAACATAGATCTAAACGGTCTGTGTTTTATTTTTTAATAACTCTATCTGGCTCATCATATTGATGCTTATATGGTCAAGAGTTAAATGTAGAACTTCTACCTGCAACTCTCTTTGAAATACAATGAAAGCTAAACAGATCAGAGAGTGGGTAAATGAAAAAGTAGATACATAACAAAGCAAATATAGTAAAACAGAATCTAATGTGGGTTGATGCTTCTTTTAACCTTTCATGTTAAAAATTCTATGTTAGGGAAAACATTCGGAAGAATAATTAAAACTTGCAAAGAGTTGGGGGCTGAAGAGATGGCTCAGGGATTATGAACATGGGCTGCTCTTGTTCCCAGCACCCACATAGCACAACCACATTTCCTCTGGTTCCAAGCAATACAGAGGCCTCTTCTGACCTCCATGGACACCAGATATGCAATATGTACATATAGGCAAACACTTACATAAAACCTTTTAAAAATTATTTTTAATTGCAAAATTTCTAAACTGGAGATACATTCCTTTTATGAGTAAATGAAAATAATGCAAAATGCGTTGCATTGTAAACGTGTGACACAAACATCTCCATTTTCAACGACACTTTTCCAGCTTACAAACAGTTGTGCCAGCACCTGTTGTGCCTCAGCATACGACATTTTGTGAACATAGAGATCAACAAAATACCCACAGTCTCTGCTCTCACATATTACAAAAATGGGCAGACATTGCCATTCACATCCTCTTCAAGCGGTTAGACACTGTGACATATTGCAGAGCCCTGTCCTTCCTAGCAGGCCACTAGAGACTCCCAAACCACAGGACCTCAGAAACGTTACATGTCCCTGCTTAAGCCAAGTACCCCAAAGTGCTCGCGAGCTAAGAGGAAGTACTTAGTTTGCCTAGTCCGTTGCTGGGTCTGCTCCCTCTCTAACAACACCTTCTGCACTACAAAACTGGTCCATTTCTTCCATTTACTCAAAACTTTTCCTCAGAGGATGGGCATAAATCTAATGGATACAATCAGAGAACAAACTAAGCATTGTAATTTTAAACTTCAGGATGACTAAAGGCCACACCAAGTAGGCACTGCCCATACTGTTGCAAAATAAATGCTATTGACACTGACAGGACTTCAAGATTATAGAAATAATAATGATTTCCCAAAGCTGAAGTGTCCTAGATAATAATGCTATCCTGTCCTCTTTATAATAGATCAATAATCATGTTTCTCTATACAGTTTATTAATATTCTCCCTGTAAGAATATTGTAACAATTTATGAAATCATCTGTGCAACCAAGTAGGACTCCTGGCACATACTTAATATAGTTAATAAGCAGTACCTATTACATTGTGGGAATTCTATCTATCTAGACTACCAAAACCCAACTGTTGTTATCTTGAAATCTTATCTACAGTTTACTAACACTATAATTCAGATGTCCCCCGTAAAAGTTTGCAGGGTTTGATCTATTCCTCCATATCCCCAAACTGCTACAGTAACTCTGCAATCTCTCTCATTGGTCAAATTTGAGCTATGGAAAACTTTCTTTTTGACACAATCTCAGACCCCTCTGCATTTTTGTTGTTCTTTTGAGACAGGTTTTCACTGTGTAGTCCTGGCTGGTCTGGAACTCACCATGTAGACCAGGTTGGCCTTAGACTCAAGGGATCTGCCAATTTTCTGCCTCCAACCTGTTGGGATTAAGGGTGAGCACTAGCATGCCTGGCTCCTCTGTATTTTCTAGTGACCTTTTTGTTTCTTCTTTTGATTTATTTCCAGGTGATGTAATCTGTATACAAAGTATCCTTTCTTACTATGATTATAAAGTAACAGAAAACTGGAGGTTGACAAGGAAAACCAGATAACCATGGGTAGCATAAAATTAAATTAAAAGTCCTCAGTATCTCAGTTTTCCTTCCTAACCCTGTGCAGGCTCCCTGTTCAAGCAGGCTGAAGGTTGTGCAAAACTAATCACACAGATGAGATAAAAGGCTGAGTAGAAAAAAGTCAGTATTGCTCAGTTACTCAACTTTTACCACATGCTAACAATGCTCTAGCAAGTTAAGTCTTCTGCCCCAACAGAATCAAATGGCACTAAAGCTATCAAGTTTAATCAAATGTGATACCACAGGCAGCATGTCACCTCCTGAAAATTCAGGAGCCACACAATTTAATCCTAGACTCAGTTTAACTTTATCTGATAATTCTAGCTAGGCAGACCCTAAAGAGGGAAGTTAACTAACTGCGCACTGAGATGGTGTGCTCCGATAACACACCCTAAATGCTGCTTGCTGGGCATTCCACAGAGCTGAGCACTGGTGTCCTTCTTCCCTCTGCCCCTGCTGTGCCTGCTTCCACATCTTCCTGCCATGTATCTCCTAGAACTCTGAGCCAAAATACCACACATACCCATTAAGTCGCTTTTGTCAGTTAATTTGTCACAGCAATAAGACAAGTAAGATAAACGAAATCAGAATAGTTTTGAGTGTCCAATCAGGACATGAATCCAAAGGCTAAAACCATAACATAAGAATTTAAGAACTGAGCTAGAGAGCACTGGCTGCTCTTCCAGAGGTCCTGAGTTCAATTCCTAGCAACCACATGGTGGCTCACAACCATCTGTAATAAGATCTGGTGCTTTCTTCTGGCCTGAAGGCAGACATACAGACAGAATACTATCCATAATAAATAAACATTTAAAAAAAAAAGAATTTAAGAACTGCCACATTTACACATAAACAGCATCTCACAAGAAATGAACAAAAGGTACACTTTATCCTTAAGTCTTTCATAACTAACCAATTTATATTCACATTATCCCATTATCGCTTTTCTTAAGAGGCAGTGTAAGAAAGGGGCAAAGAATACTGAGTGAGGTAACCCAGACCCAGAAAGAAAAGCATGGTATGTACTCACCAGCCTACAATCCACAACCCCAGAGAAGCTAGGAAACAAGGAAGACCCTAAGAGAAACATACTTGCTCCCCCAGAGAAGGGGAAAGGGACAAGATCTCCTGAGAAAATTGGGAGCACTGGGTAGGAAGGAGTACAAGGGAGGGGAGGGGAGAGGAGAGCATGAGGGACCAGGAAGACTGAATGGGGAGATGAAAGAGGAGAGCAAGAAAAGAGACCATCAACAGAGGGAGCCATGATAGGTTTAAAGTGAAATCTGGCACTAGGGAATTGTACAGAGATCCACAAGGATGACCCCAACTAGGAATCTAAGCAACAGTGGCGAGGCTGCCTTAAATGCCCTTCCCCTATAATGAGATTGATGACTATCTTAAATGCCATCCTAGAGCCTTCATCTAGTAGCTGATGGAAGCAGAAGCAGACACCCACAGCTAAATACTGAGCCAAAACTCCTGGAATCCAATTGTAGAGAGGGAGGAGTGATGAGCAAAGGGCTCAAGACCAGGCTGGAGAAACCCACAGAAACTGCTGACCTGAACAAGTAGGAGCTCATGGACCCCAGTCTGACAGCTGGGAAACCAGCATAGGACAGAAGCAGGCCCCCTGAACGTGGGTGTCAACTGGTAGGCCTGGGCAGCCTATGGGAGCTCTGGCAGTGGAATCAGTATTTATTCCTAGCGCAAGAATGGACTTTGGGAGCCCATTTCCTATGGAGAGATACTCTCTCAACCTAGATACATGCCCCATATGATGTGACAGACTTTGATGATCCCACATGGGAGGCCTTACCCTCCCTGGGGAGTGGGATGGGGGGGGTTGGTGAGGGGTAAAGAAGGACAGGAGGGAGAGGGAACTGGGATTGGTATGTAAAATAAAATTGTTTTTAAATTTAAAAAAAAGGTAAAGAATTACATGTACCAAAACATGTATCACAGGAGGTAGAAATTTAGCATAAGAAAAGTCCTAAATCCAGGGGTCTGGGGGAGTGGGAGAGGAGGATATGATCAAGATACACTGTATACATGTATAAAATTGTCAAAAAATAAATAAAAAGTATTCTAAAAAATAAAGTCACACATCCTAGAAAATATGAGCAGCCTACTTTTTCATTTCACACACACACACACACACACACACACACACACACACACACACAGAGTTCTGCTTACATATATTCCTGCATGCCAGAAGAGGGCACCAGATCTCATTACAGATGGTTGTGAGCCACCATATGGTTATTGGGCATTGAACTCAGAACCTCTGAAAGAGCAGCTAGTGAGTGAACTTAACCACTGAGCCATCTCTCCAGCTTTTTAATCTTTACAGACATCTGGGTCTGTAATTCCTGGTAGAGAGAAACAAACACTGTACATAAGTTAGGCACTATAGCCCCGAATATCACAAATCACTTGCAAGGTAGCTTACAGTCTTTGACTATAATGTAAAAGGACTCAACATTTTACTATTGGGGTATCTCGCTGATATGTGGAGAGACAAGTCTCTGTCCATGAGCAAACCCATAAAATAAAGAGGAAGATGGAGTAAAATGACAACACAGCAGCACTAGTAATTAACAACATTAATGGGTTATATTTGAGGGACAGGTAAAGGACCCTTTGTCCTGTCCTATACTCTAGTTTGGAGGAACTGGCCAGCTAGGTAATCAGTGAGGAAAGTGTCCTCCAAATGGTGTATTCTATGGTGCAAAGCCAAGAGGGTGCTAGTAAGGCTCTGGGACTCT